AGGACCGCCTGCATTTGTGTAATAACATAGTTGAGCTGCCGGTTGCAACCGGCAGCTTCCGTTGCCGTTGCCGTTGCCATTGCCAGTGTACTGTGTACTGTGTACTGTGCTTTGCCATCCTGCCCCCGCCTGCCACTGGCCACTTGTTGTTGGACATTTTTTTTATAGCCCTGGCGTGTGCTTTATTTCCTTTTAGCCCGCCCTGATGCTGCACGTAGCACATTTTCAATTTAATTTCTGTCTGCGTGACTCTCTCTCTGTCTCTGTCGCTCTCTCTCTCTCTTCTTTCATGCCTGCCCCGCAGGCAATGCAGACGCGCGTTTCCAGCCTGGCCATTGTCTTTGGCTTTGTTTGCAGTGTTATTTCCGGTGCGCCTACGTGAAATTAACTTGTGCATTCGCAAATGCATATATGATACTGGTTGCAACAGTTGTCGCAGCTACATGAAATAGGGTGCACAGGCTGCATATAATCTATAAAGAAATTCCTTTGCTTTTTGGTCGCCACTTTAATTAAAGTGTGCCAGAAGTGGTTAATAGATAGACAGCATTCAAACCACCAATGACTGACCCAGTTAAGAGGGCGTGCAACAGGAAAGTGGTGGCATGGGGCATGAGTAGTCGAAGCTCAAAAATAAAAGCATTGCCAGTCAATGCACAGTGGTACCAAACGAATTATCAAATAATTATGAAATATTCGTATGGAAATGTTCTGATCAGATTTTGACTGGGACCTGCTTAATAGAAGCGCAATAATTGTCGCGATTGCTTAGTCAAGATGTTCTAAAAAACATACTGGTTTTCGTATGCAAACTCAATTTTTAACCAAGATGGGCTATAACATGTTCCACCTGTCAGGATTATCATTGTTATCATTAAGATAACATTAGAACTAGTTTGCATATAAACAGACACTAGGCTATTCATATCAATCACTGATATAAATGTATATATATATTATTGAATCTGATTTGATCTTCGAATTCCTATCGCTTTCCGATGTTATGTGTACAAACCTAAGTTGGAATTTTCGAAATTGCCTGCAGTGGATTTTTGGCTTGTTGTTGCTGCGGCTGTTGTAATTACAAAGCACTTGTTGTTTAGGCGTTAAGCTAACAAAATGCAGAACTGCCGACAGTCGGATACCCACAGCCCATATGACAGTCCCCCCCCACTCCACCTCTTTTGACAGCACAGAATTTTGAGAGCGCAGCAATAACCGAACTTGAAAGCGAGTGCACAAAAGTACGCAGCACTATTAGGCCAAATGACTTTTGACGCTCGACGCCCGACGCTGGGGTGTATTGCAATATTTGCATGCGGTCTGCCAATGTGCCATTTGCATGTGTGTGTAAGTGTGTGCGCTTATGAGTGTGTGTGTGTGTGTGTGTGTGTGTAAGGGGGAGTGTTTATCGGCATGTTGACTGCATTGCCAGCTGCAGCCAATTGATGCCAAAGGCCAGCATCGAGGGCATTTCAAATGAATACTGCTGCAATAGAGAGAAAGAAAGAACGCATTTTTCCCATCGAAAATTTACTATAAGTTTTTTCAAGTGCATTTTTGTTCGCTTTTCCCGCACTTTTCCCGCAAATGCGAACAATTTTTTTTGATTAGTTCTGCGAGTGTGTTTTAGAGCTTTGTTTGAGCTTGCGATTTACAAAAATTTCCGTGATGCACCATATGGATTGTCTATATCCTGTATTTGTATTGGTTTAAAGCCCACTAAAGCATTTTTTAGCTTAAAAAATGCAACTTAGTTCCTCCAACTTAGGTATGCTTTCTATAAATAATGCAAATATTTGCAATAGTATTAATATTAAGGAAATTTGAAAATCAATTTAATAGTAATTGCTGAAAATAATCATTGATTTTCATATACTAAATTTATAATCAGCAAATTTTGTGCATAACTGCCACCAAATATTATGCAAATATATTTATGCTGCTTAATATTTACCGACCTGAAAGTCTTTTATTATGTAAACTAACTTTTCACACACAAAATGCATCAGAAAATGCAATTCAGGCAAACAAAATGGCCGAAAAACTCTTCGGTTTGCGACTTTTGTGCTCTCTAAAGCAGAAATTCAAACAAATTTGTGAGTGTTTGTGTGTGCCAAAGGGTTCAATTACGAACAGAGCCCTTCAGGTGACAGAAAATAACGAGCATGCAAGGAGGAAGAGGAAGTCAACTAAAAGCCGATCCCCTGGCTGGGACGAGCTATGCAACAAAGCTAAACTGCTTGACAACTGTGCAACATGGTGGCACTGAAACTCTAATAGATGAAACATATAGCCTCCGTCGCATAAAGCCTGTCAACGGGGAGCAAAATTGCACTTAACTTTTGGTCCACCTGGGCTTCTCTGTGTGTGTTTTTTGTCGCGCCTAAGCGGCTGCCACTTTTGTTGGCCAAAGTGGTTTGCGGTCAGGTGGTCGCAGGTGACAAGACGAGTGGCTAGCATGAGCCGGTCTTTCAATTTCAAGGCTCATTGTGTTTGACTCAGGTATTGGCGAAGCATTAAATTAACCTTAAAACTTTCCACAAGCCGACAAAAAAAAACAACGAAAACTAAATGTTTGGTCAAACTAATTCAAACACAGCTGATCACTCAATATCAGCTGTCAATTTATCGCGGCTTTGCATAACACTGGTGGAACTTATTCACTCATGTTAACAATACTTGTAATTATAGTAAATATCGATAGTTCACAATCGAATTAGTCCAAGTTGTAATAAGAACAAGATCAAGTAATATGCGCACCTTTGTGTCAAAAAATAAAGCTGTTAATTAAAATAGTTTAAATACCGCCCAGACTTGAAGTCTCTTGTTTGCATAAAAAACGCTTTGTGCAACGAACACTAAACTTGAAATTAATTAACCACGACAAGGTTTAGGCAAAACAATAAAAACCAAATATATGCAGCAAAAATCAGGAGAAAGTACTCGAAAACACCAGAGAGTCGCGGTAATTTAAACTTTCCACCCATTCTGTTTCATTTCCTGCTAGATAACTCGTAAAGCCCCTAATTACGGAAACAGCTGACGCAGCCATAGACAAAAAAAAAATAAAATAAAATAAAAAACAACCAAACAGCTGCTAAAAAAGGAAGGGAAAGGTGCGGAAAAGTGTGGGGAGTAGAGCCGAATAACACACCTACACCATATTTTATGTGAAATAAGTAATTTTATGTACGACTGAAATTAAATAAAATGTACAGCTTTAAATGAATTACAAATAGTCAAGCCGAAAGTGAAATACGCTGATTTTAATGAAACCGAATAACAAACGAAGCACAAAACTTATAATATTTATTTCAAATTATTATTATATATTAATATAATATTTGCGTCTGTCGACCAATCATGATACCCTTAACGTGTTTGTCGGAAAATAAAAAGCGATTTCGCTGTGCGACGCACGTGTAAATTATTGTGGCCTGGCTTGGATGGGCGACGCCTGAAAGCATGCGGCGGTATTTTCCATCCTTCTCGGCCTTCTCGGCACAGGCAACGTTACACGCAGCCTCGCCGCATGTATTTCAATTACTGCATTTCTCAGTTAACCGCCACATCTCCGCCTCGCCCCGCCACGCCACGCCCCTCCACCGAACACAAGCGCTGTTGAAGCGTCAGTAACGCGTTCGGTCGCCGCTCCCTCCCCTCGGTACACGCCCTCGACAGCATTTTTTTATGGATTTTTAATTTGCACCCGGCACACATTTTTTGTTATTTTTTTATTCTTATTTCTGTTATTTTGTTACTCGAGCACTTTTACGCAAATTCATTGTTTTAATTTACTCAAGTTTGTTGACCGAAAACAAAAACTAATCAATGCGGAGCAGCATCGGAGCAGTGGATGATGGGAGAGATTAGGGATGGGTGTGTGGGAGTTCACCCAAGGTGACAATGCTGGGGCGTTGGTCAGTAATGAGGTCAAAGCCTAAAATAGGGTTAAACAGTATACACTTTTTTAATTAAACATTAAGTCTGGCAAACTTTTTTGTTGTGGTTTTCTATCTGGCATGGCTCAAAGAACTTCGCCCTCTTTTTTGGCGCTTGCTTTTTGGGAGTTTTTTCTGTAAGCAACCGCAGTCCGCTAAGTTGTGGCCAGAAATATGAACTTCAAAAGGCAAAGCTTCAACTTGTGGATACAGCGAAAAATAAATAAGAAAAAAAGCGCAAAGCCAAAGGGATAATAGTTAATGAGATACAGTTAAAAGAAGAGTTCATCTTTTTTTGAGGTATTTTGAGCCTATTCCTCAAGTACGAATATGAAATATGTGTGCAGTAGTGTACTACAAAAAAAAGTATAGAAAATATAAATGTGGCAATAAATTATAATTATACAGAATCATTTTTGATCAAAAACTTACAAATAGTTATACTAAATATACAACGAAATATTGACCGTTTACAACAAAATATTGACCGTTTCTATTCTTTTCTCTTTTCAGGCAACATTTCACAACTGAACAAAACAACGATATAAAACTGAACAAGCAAAACCAAATTAATAAATTTAACAACAACTGCTACTTACGGTTTCTCAAGCTCTTTTACACAAAAAAAAAAGTAGTATTCAAGTGCGAATTATGTAAATTTAAAAGAAAAAACAAAAACTCTGCCAACAAACAAAGAGCGTGCTAAAAATGCGTGACCAGAAAACCGGAAATTAAATTTGCAACAGCCATAACCTCAAAATAAAATATAAAAAAGTAGTGCAAAAGCGAAAATCTGAGAGCAAGCTAAAAAAAAAATTAACGAAATGCTTGTCAGCAAATCCAGTTAAAAGGAAAAGAAAAATAAAAAATATCACAGAAAGAATATTAAGAAATTCCGCTGGCAAATAGATGTACAGATTAACAAAGGTCACTGCGCAGGATCTAAATCAAAAACAAGATAAATAAAAGCTGAAAACTTAAGCGATAATTACACTAAATTAGGAAGTACGCTGCAGTAAGATAAATATAGAGGCAGAGAGAGAGAAACAGAAGGAGAAGGAGAGAGAGAGAGAGAGAAAAGAAAAGATCACAGAGCTGACCTTCAGTGCATAAGCCATTGTGTGAGCTGCAGCTGCGCTGAACTTTGACCCACACGACGCGTTCGTCTTTTGGCTCAAGTGTTAGTCACGGCAACGTGCCAGGACGGGCGCAGCCTACTTAAAAGCAGGCGACAGGCAACTGGCAGGCACCCAATTGTTGCAGCCACAGGCACAGACAGTTGCCCTCTCACAACACCAACAACAACAAGTGGACAACAATAGCAACAGCAACAGCAACGACGGTCCAAGCAATTCAACCTAAAAACAACGCAAACAACAAAACCAAGGACATGGACTCGTCGTCGTCGTGCACGCTGTTTGCCGTGTTTATCTTCCTTGTGATAATTAAAGGTGAGTGCTCCCCTTTTGACCCTCTTCCCTCTAGCCATTTTATCACACTCTTACTCAACACATATTTCCATTTTCCATTTTGCCTCATTCTGCAAATGTGTGCGCTAAATGAAAAGCCACGCAAACGTTTCAGCCACCACCTTAAGTAAATAATTGTAACCATTAATTAATTAATGGAATTAGCTTTCCATAAATTTAAAATTGAATTTCAAATGCAGCTCTTTAACTTAAAGTCCAAGTACACATTATGACAAATCTCTGTGAATTAGAAATTCCTTTGATGTCCAGTGTAGTAATAATAATGAACTAAAACTAGAAAATTATTGTAATTCATTTTGAATTTGAATGTGGAGATTAAAATGACAATTCGGCTAAACGATATTAAATTAAATTTGAGCAAGAATAATTTATAACTCGCCTTATTTCATTGTGGTTTAACCTTATATTATTATATAGTAATAAAAACGACTACGCCAGTGTTGACAGCAGCAGCAAAGAACTTTAATTGATTATGAATTGTTAACATGTTTGAATTTGCGTGGCTTAACATAGCTCATTGCTTAGCTTATTGTTAGTCTTAATTACATATCCACACTATGTTAAGTGCAGTTTGAGCTCCAGCAGCCATCGTTAACAGCGCTCTCATTGTGCAGCGCTCTCCCTCTCTCTCTCTCTCTCTTGATAAAGGGCGTTCGCTGATCGGCGGAGGCTTCCCGCCTTCACTTCGGTAATCGATCGTTAGTTACTCTTGTTGTGAAGAGGTTTAGCAATTGGATTCAAGCCTTTAATAAACATAAAGTGTTGATAGAAAAGACTAAGCGTTTGGCTTCTAGTCTAAGTATATTTGAACAAAATTTACAACGAGGAAATAACTTCGTGTTATTAATTGGAAAATAAAGCTATCAAAAAGCTGATAGCGCAAACAGCCAGTTTCTACCAATATTTAAGTGCTCAATTTAAGTATGTGCATAAGATATATATTTAAGTACTGGAAAGCACACGCAATAATCTCAATTTAAGTATTATCTTGGGTTAGGTTAGACACAAATAGGCCATGTTTGGTTCGTTCTCCGGCACTCGTGCGAATTTGGCAGTATTGTCTTAAAACTAACTAAACTTTATAAAATTCTTTGTCTTTTGTTGAGCTAACTTTTTGCTGCATAAACTTGTCTGCAGAGCAACTGTTGTACAAATCCTCCTCGTGTCACTATCAATTCGAGATGCACAACTCTCAGAACTGTGCATAAATCTTCATGTCACTTTACTAACATGCTACAAAACGCGACTCGAACTGCTGCTCTCGCACTCCCAAGCGCCCTCACTCCCTTTCGCGGACCACGATGTTATTCAATTTCGCATTTCACATTGAGTTTTTCAATTTTCTTTGCCCACATTTTCACGGCGCTTTAAGCAGTCCAAACAGAAAACCCACCGACTAAACGAAGCGCAAAATCTAAAAAGCCACACATGTATGTATCATGTGAAATACGTATACGTATCTATTACATATATACTGAGCTATCCATTATGTGTATATGGTAGTTATATGGCTGTATTCCCACGTAACTCGCCATAAATTCACATTGTGGCACAAGAGATCGCCCAGAGCCAAAACTTGGCCATATTTTTTAGTTTGCTCAGCTCAGCTCAGCTCGGCAATTGCCAAAGTAGAAAAAATAATGCGCGGCAATGAGACAATATTCAAGTTGAAAAAAAAAAATAGCGAAAACGAGAATAAACTCGTACAATTGTCAGAGTGAGCCCCAGGAGGGCCTACTTCAAATCTACAGCTGCTCCCCAGTGTGAAAGCATCGCACACGCAAAAACAAACACACAGAGACACACACACACACACACACACACACACACACACGCGCGTTCGTTAAAGTATTTTTTCGAACTTGCATTCAGTCGAGATGTTTGTTTTTTCTGGTTCGTTGAGTTGGGCTGAAGGGAGTAGGGTGTGGTATGGCTGCGTTCTAACCGAAATCTCATGTTAGCGACTGTTGTCAAAAATAACAAGCAGCGAAGCACGGTTCTCAATTCTCAATACTGTGTGCTCCACTTTTATTGATTCCACCAGTCTGCAACGAAATGCATTTCCAGTAAGTGGCGTCTAAATGAAACTGTGAAAACATCTTACAGATCAAATCGGAATTGAATCAGAATTGCTGGAACTTGTGACAATTACTTACATGCTTACATTAAAACCTAACAACTAACTTCGATTTTAGGTACAAGTAAGTCAGGTCATTTCAATGTTTGATTTCAAGAAAGTATAACAGATCTATTATATCTGTTAAATCTGTCAGACATTGCATATATATTGCATGTCATTTCGAACTTTTTATAATAATAGAATATATATATTGTGTATTACTTGAAGATCTTATATAAATGTGGCAGGGATTTAGCTTATTAACCCCTTCGCACACATTTTCGAAACGCTTTCGCTAATCTTATTGACTGCGTTCAAAGTTTTCTTTACTGTCTTGACGACTTTGAATCACTGTCCAACCGTAACAGTTTTTACACAGTTGGAGAGGGTATAGTAAATTTATCGTGAGGTTTGTATCGCATTGACACGACTTAATAATTTATATATATTCTTAAAAAGTATCACTAGTCGAGTCGATGTAGCCATGTATGTCTGTGCTTTCGACCATCTGATTCTATGCAAATTAGTTCCTCAGTCTTAAAGCTATCCCAAAGGAATCCCGATCGCAAAATAAGTTCTAGAAGGAGCAACTTTTTTGTTTAGCAAGTTGTCCAGACAAAACTGACTATTTAGGACTATTGAAGCATATAGGACAAATCAATTGATTTTTTTTCAAATTTCTTATGAAATTATCATATGAGAAGATTGACTATGTTCTGCAAGGGTATGTAATCTTCGAGATGCATGAGGTAGCCATTCGCTTTTGCTTCAGTTACTTTCGCATTTCGATCTTCTTTTAGTTGCAAGAGCAATGACTTGCAACAAGTTACTGGTAACCAACACAGCTGCTGTGCAGTGTAAGCGCTCACTCAAAAGCTCCTCTTTTTATATGGCTCTTATTGTTTATTACAGTTGCGTGTTTTCTTTTTCACCCTAGACAAGTTTTAGCTTAAGCATCACTGTGGGAGCTAACTGGTAAATCTTTGAGAGTCCTCCATCGTTTTACCCTGACTCTGTCTTTGTCTCTCTATCTCTCTCCATTTCTCTGTATACATGTTTTTGCCCTCTGCCTCTGACAAAGACAAAGACTAATGAAGATGGCGTCGCATTCGAATTCACATTCTCATTCAAGTTCGTGGCAGGACAAATATTTTCAATAAGCTTGGCGTAGCTGTAACAAACTGCGCACTGATTGGAAAATCAGCAGTTGAAAATTGCCAAAAGTGAAGAAGCAGAGGGCAGCAGGGTACGATAAAGGAGAGTTCGCCGCAGGGCAACAGCAGAGGAAAATACAATATTTCAGAGATTCAGCCGAATGTTGTCAACTTGTTGTTGCCAGCCAGTTGGCAAGCGCATAAATTTCATGGCAATTCGAGCGGCTCTGCGCACCTTGAAGTTGTCCCTCCACCAACTGTCAGCTACCCCATCCCTTTTGGGGCTTTTGGACTATATATTGCTGGCCATATATTTTGTTTTTAAGGCATTTTATGTATTGCGAAAAATTTAAATGACATAAATTTCTATTGGATTTTCGGTACTGACGCCAAAGCCAGGACATTCAAAATGTCCTCAACATATTTTGGGCTTTCACTTAAGTATGAAATGCTTTTAAGCTACGGCCTTCACTTATTCAGAGGCGTCCTCTGGGCTTGGTCAACTGATAAGCACACGTAGTTGGCTGAACTGTTAACGGCAAAGTTTGCCAATTCATTGTAATGAGTTTGGCAACAATTAAATTCGATTAAAGTTAAAATAAATTTAAATGAATTATAGAAGAAAAAATAATTTAAATGAAACACAAATTGTAGTGTATATAATTGTTCTCATTATTTTGTAACTCAAAACTCGCTTGTCAAATTTTATTTTCATTCAGTTTTTATTAATATAAATATAAAGCCAAAATGAAAATTAGTCATATTATTCTGCCACAATGGCAGTCAAAATTAAAATATCTTTCTCTTTCTCAAACACTTCTACTCACTTTTTTTATTCGCCACGACTCTTTCTTCTTCTTCAATTTGGCGATCACATCGTTGAATCGATCGATATCGATATCAATGTTAAGTACTAATTGCATTTTAGGTTACAGTCTTAGAACTATAACATTAGTAGCCTGTTACCTACATTAAAAGAGGCGTGTTACATTACATATCTAAATTGAATTTGAAATTTGAAATGTAGGTGACAAACTACTAGTGACGTAGTTAAAAGACTGTAAAATAACATCTGTACATAACATTAAAATCGACATCGATCGATATCAATTGTGTGATACCCACTTTAAGAAGAAGAAGAGTGCAATCGTTGTGAATAAAGTAAAATGGGCATACATGTTGGTAAATTATTATAATATATAACAATATCATGGAATTACATGCTTTTGGTGTATAAAAATAATAACTATCTATCTAAATTTATGTTCAGAAAATTAAAACTTCATATAAATAAAAAGTACATAAAAGAAATATTCTTGAATATATTGTTACTTTGTTTGCCTTAGCTTGCAATTGATTTCTAGAACTCAACCATTTGTCTGTACATAATAATTCTGTACATTTCAAACCACACAGAAACTTTCTTATCTGGTTGTCTTTGGGGTAGCGTTAGTTGTTTTTGGCCGAACATTTTGGAAGGCACTGTGCCTGTCAGTGCTAAGTATTCCGCTGCGGCAACTCGAGCAACTTGCCACCCACTTCCAGCGAAAAGTTTTACCCCCACGTGGGAGACGCCTCTGACGCCTGCAGGTAAAGCGGATAATCCTCGCTGGTGGGACGAACGAGAGCAACAACGACTTCAGCTTCCGCTCGGCGACGCCATCATGTTGCTGTTGCCATAGTCTAAG